GGAAGAAGAGAGAGAGAAAGAGAGAGAGAGAGAGAGAGAGAGAGAGAGACGAAAAAAGTCTCTATAAAGTCGGGAATAGAACGGGGTTGAAATTGATGGAGGACGGAATCAGTCGGCGAGAAGCTGACATTTTTTACAGGATTAATTCGCTCACCGGAATATCTCGTGGTATATATGTTTTTCTATTTTTTTTTCTATTTTTTATTTGGTCTTTTTTTTATTCTTTTCATCTTTTTTTTGCTTTTTTTTTTTTTTTTTTGTATATATCGAATTCATCTGCGAAACCATCGGTATATTCGAACGATCTCACGGCTTATTCACCTGTCCCTTCCATTCCGCCCAGTTATATTTTATACCGTCTCTTATCTTCACCAACTTCGTTAATACGAATCGTCGGAAAAACGAATCGTTTAACATTCTTCTCGTACACCGATAGTAATGCTAAACGTAACAAAAAGTCATTCGAGGAACTCTAGCTCCGTTCTGTTTATAAAGGAATTTCGCGTGCCGCTAACAAAGAAATAGAGTAAAATAAGGAACGATTCTAACTTACATCGACATATTTCACTCGTTATCGCGATTCTAAGTTCGCTGCACTGCTTTAATTTAAGTAAAAATACAACATAGGAAACATTCTGGTAGCGTTAAGAAGAAAAATCGAATTTTACATTAGCGTCGAATAGATTAACAAAAGAGAGGCAACATTTAAGTTACGATAATCGATCGTTTAAGTCTTTCTTGTTCAAGAAAATCATCGATCACCAGTCATCCTATAATTACGATATATCTAGATATCTATTCGCTCTTCATATTTCTACATCTCGTTCTCGTATCTTACAAGACACGTTCATTTTCATGATAAACGTTGCTCTCTTTTTAATTACGTCGATAAATTACGAGAATAGCGACAAAGTTTCATCTGACTGACTAATAAGATCGGAACACGAAGTTCTCTTATCCGAGAGAAATCCTTCGTTATAATTTCCACGAATTTGTCGAAAGTTTTGCCTTCTGAACGTACCGAGAAGACGATGAAATACTTATAACACGGTTCACGAAGATAGTCATATTTCTTCGTCGAAATGTCGTCGAATTGTAATACGTCAGGTAACGCGTTTCGAAGCGACTACGTTCCTGTCTGAGAAATGGTGAAATTTTTCACGATCGATGCTCGTAAATGGAACTTTTGCAGCGGCGAAGAATAATACAGAATAAAAAGGAAAGATGTGAAACGTGTTAGCGAGAAGTCAGACAGGCAAGACAGGTAGATACGTATGTATGTATGTATATATGTACCTTTACGACGTGCTCGTTCATTTTGTTAGATGATATAAATCATTGCAACAAAGAAACAACTTCATTCACATCGACTACCGTCAACTATGCCATCGTTTAACTCCTCTCAGTACTCTCTAAAAGAGAGAAAGAAGAGAGAAAGAGTCCTCTCCGTTGACTTTTATAATTTATCACGGACGACGGGAAGCGGATTTCAGAAGGACTTTCATAATTTGTCATACCAACGGAAAAACGTAGCTTTCCTCTGACTTCGTTTTTCCAACGGGAAATACGAACTCCTTAGAAGAATTCATAATTCCGCTGGACCTGCGTTACTCGTGTTCTATACGTAGAAGAAATACAAAACAAAAAAGAAAAAAGAAAAAAGAAAGAAAGAAACAAAAGAGAAAAGTAAAAAATGAAAATAAGAAAAGAAAGGGATACTTCCTACTGAAAGTAACCTTCTTATACTCCGAGCGAATTTTGAAATACACGCAAAAAAAAAAAAAAAAAAAAAGGAAAAATACAAAGGGGTATCTCTTAACGTTCCGCTCCGATTTCCTTTAAAGAAATAAACGAATAAGTTGCCCTCGAAATAACGTTCGAGCGTAGAAACTATACATATATTATACGCCCATGAGAATTTCTAGAGAATTTGGTTGAACATCGTAGCCGTTTCGACGAGTTTCCTCAAAAGCCGCGGCGGTGTAACAACGACTAGGGTTAAACTTAAGTTAATAACGTTGTTTGTGAAAGAAACGAAATCTCGTCGAGGATTCACCAAATCTTAGCCGTGAAAGTTGTGGAAAGTAGTAGTGAAAAGAAAAGGTAGAACGGAGAACTGGTGGTACGATCGAGAAAGAGTCGCGAATACATTTTTAAATAGTTGCTCGCCTGGGACAACGATAAGTACGTGAGACCGAAGCAACTTTGCAACGTTACTTGAATCCCGTCGCTTACATTTACAAGAGCTCGAAGGTTTCTCGTGATATTTCGAACTACGGGACTACGTAAGAAGCCTTTTTATATCTATTTATATGTATATATATATATATATGTATACAGTATATACACTTGGTGGATATAGATACTTTATATGTATAGGTATCGCACACGTTTCATATATACATATTGTATATGTATGTATTATAAAGAGTTGGTATACGTCAGCACTCAAAGATTCCAAGAGGCACGCGTATCCACAAGAGTGTTTATAGATACGGCAGACCGTATCAAACATTTATTCAAGTGCCAAGCCGAGATGGGGACTCGGTTTCGGCATTGACGTTACTTCCCACTCGATTGCCATGCGTTTACCCAAACCCTTTTCCCCACTATTTTGCTATCGTTTGAGATTCCTCAAAATTTTAGAACGCATATACCCTCTATCTTTGAGCGATTTCCATTCTATTTATCTCCCACGTATTCAGGCTTTTATCAGTCGATAAAATAGAAAAATTCCACTTGTGAGCGCTTCCTTTTAAACCGACAAGGTAAGAGAACGAAATTCATCGGACATATAAGAAATTTCATTGATATGTGAAATTTAATTTAAATAATTTTAACAAATGACGCGAAAGGTCTCGAATCTAGCCAGAGTTTTAAACGACAATATCTTTATCACTACATGGGTTAGTCGCATGGTAAACGAATAAAAGGATTTATCGAAAAGAAAAATAAGAGACAACGAGTACATCGAATTTTCCTGCACCGAATCCATTTGAACCGATGGAAATACTCTTCGAAAGACTGTGTGTATTGAAATATTCCCCGATACCAAAAGTATTTTCGTGCGTTCACACGTTCACAATCTCATTCCCTCCATCTCTCTCACTCTCTCTCTTTCTCTTTCTCTCTCTCTCTCTCTCTCTCTCTCTCTCTCTCTCTCTCTCTCTCTGTCGCTTTTTCTCACTTTCTGGTTCGGTATCGCCTACCTCAGCGATTTACTGCTTCTCTCTTTCTCGACGAGTAGCTATATCGACACCTGGATAGTGAGAACGAAAGAGAGGAACAGAGAAGAGAGAAAGAGAGAGGGAGAGATACAAAATCAGTGCACCGGTGCATGCAACGAGAACCCAGCCAATCTCATGTTACGTTCAATGAATTCAAGTTGGCCTTTTGCTGATTCCACACTATTCCTAACGTCCTTCGCGCTTATCCTTCTTCATTTCTCAAGTTCTTTATTTCTCCCTCCGCCTCTCTCTCTCTCTCTCTTTCACTTTTTCAAATTTTTCCATTCTTGCCTGCCCATAGCCCCATATCTGTATTACTGCAAAAATTATAGGTTGACTATATGTACCAAATTATATTAAAAATGTATCTCCTCAAAATAAGATTCTAAAAAGAAAAATGGCGGCCGTGCGATCTCATTCAATAAATTTTACCGTCTTACATTACTGATTTCCTATTTGTTCGTATTTCTATTTTTTTTGTTACGTGATCGATTTAAAAGGCAAAAATATTCGCAGGTACGCTTTTGTCAATATCGAACGTTACGTTTTTATGAGACTTATTTATACAAAATATATATATATACATATATATATATATACATATATATATATATATATATATATGTCTTGTCGAACGAGTTCTACTCAAATGTAAATACGCTTAATGATGCGCGACTTCTCTTTGATGTTTTCCTTCTGCCCGTATGCCACGATTTCGCGATTGTATCCCGAGTGCAGCAAAATTTCGATCGAACAAAAACTCTCATACGCGTCTACACGTCTCGTTTGTCAACGCATACACCCATATATACATATTAACATGTATTCGCGTATTTACAACTTTAGAGTATCAGAAACTTTAAAAACTTTTTCTATTTTTCTTACGTTCAAGCACAAAATTTGTATGATTTCTCTTATCGATCCTAAAATATAATGTTAATATTTAATACAAATCTGGATAAATAAAATGTATTTCGATCGTGTTTGTTTGAGCGTAAACGCAACGAGGATAAACAAAGAGACGAGTTTGAACATTTCTTCGATCGAACACGACGTTCGATTCTAAACGCAATTCGATTCTATTTACGAGGGGTACACGTAAATAATGAAATAGTACGCTGAGACCGAGCAAACGAAATCGATATCGATCTGTTGATAAAAAACGATTCACTGTTCGTCAAAAATACATAGGATTGTATTTTATCGGATCGTTTTTTTACGGATAGAAGGCTAATACTGAACGAACTTCGTACATATATATATATATATATATATATATATATATACACGTATATATAATATATATATATACATATATATAATATATATATATATGTATATATATATATATATATACACATATATATATGTATGTATAGGACTCGGACCTCTTCGTGTTTGGTCAAAATCGTTTCGTACGTTAAATGGAACGGCGTTACACAGGAACTGTCTATCATGCGGATTCCAAACGATAGGGGTATACAAACAGCAAGGAAAATAACACCGGTTTTCTGATATATCTCGCTTCGGTGCATTTCTGTTTAACGTCACATGCGAACACTCTTGTCGACTCACAAAAATGGAAATATTTGGACAACGTAGATAAAGATACAAGAATGTAAATGAAGAACACCAGGCATTTTACGTTTACGACAAATAAATACGATTATATAATTGTGTTTTAAATGTCATGCCAGGATGACTCACTAAACTCAAAAGTATAAAGACATGTTTTTGATGCTGTAAACTAAAGATAAACTTGAGTAAGAGAAATAAAAATGGTTTGTCACGTTTGATGTACGTATTCAACGATAAAAATTAGAATTTTTCCTAAGCGTCGAGTTTATCTCGTCAAAGAAACTTCACATTTAGGAATCAAGAGAGCGAAAAATGTGCGATTAAATTGTCGGCAACGGTGGCCAGCTAAATGTGACAATTATACGGTGGAAAATTATACGATAGTTTGGTACGCCGCCGGTAGCACACCTCCGAGCCTATCCGCGAAATTTACTGGACGAAAATTATTACGGGTGAATGCTTACGGTAGACAATTCTAGCTTTCTACTTTGGCGATTCAATTTCGTGCCACTTGAAAAGGTGACGGCGCACTAAGAATTAATTATGTAGATCTATGATGCTACTACTACTGTCGCTTCAATGAAAAAGAGACGAATAGAGAAAGACGACTCTATTTAACGAACAAATTGAACCATTAATCGCCTACGATGACATATTTTCTAGTTAATCAATTGAATAAAATATGAATCATTTTTATAGTCATATTCTTGGATTTACGTTGGGACTTACGTTTCTCATAATACAATAATTATCTGTAATTTTCCAAATAGATATTTTCTTCTATTTAATTTAATCGTTAAACTTTATTTCATTTATTGTAAATATTTCGAAATATTTGATACATTTTCCAACAGGTTAACTTTTCGGAATCCCCTAACTTCAATTACAATCGAAATAAGGAAACATATCATTTCTCGCTTTCTAGAAACTCGTGAACATGAGAAGAAAGAGAGAAGAGTCTCATCCCTTCCCAAAAGTCAAAGTTGTCTCAACGCCGGAAAATGTCTTTTGAGAAGGACGAGGTCGAGGACGATCTCAAAGCTTGGTTCCAAGTTTCAAACGACCGACTTTGCCCAACGTCGATCGCGGGGCTAAGAGATCGTGCCGTTTTAAAGGCAAAGGAGGACACGAGAAAGTTTTTGAATGGTTTTCATCGTCGTTCCATTCTCCGACTGCTTATAGAGAAGTGTGAAATCAAAACTATTGATCTACTTTCCGGTTTATCACGAAACGAAGAATAAGATTGGTTAGTCATCTCTTGTAATGTTAACCGATCTACTAAAGTCTTTACGTGCTACAGGTGTTTAGTTCTATCTCAGTTCTTTGTCTTTCTCTTATACAAAAGGAAAAGAAAAAAAAATGAATAATTTTATAGTGAAAAAGGGAAAGCATTTTCCGTTCGACCATCCACGAGAACGATATTACGTTCTTTCAAGCCCATTCTCGCGTATCCTCTTAAAGTTCCTCAAAAAGTTACCGAAGTGGATCCTTCTTTCGTTATACGATCTTTAGGAAACTCCCCAAGCGTTGAATCTTGAAAACTCATTTCAATCGGCAGTGTCATTCTTGTGCTCGAATACTCGCGGCTAACGCTGTTAGAAAAAAAGGAATGCAATAGAGGAGAAAAGAGAAAGAGAAAGAGAAAGAGAAAGAGAAAGAGAGAGAGAGAGAGAGAGAGAGAGAGAGAGTGAAGAATGGGAGAAGAAGGCATGCAGAGAAAAGCGTTTTATGCAAACTATGTCTAGAATTTTTCTCGCTTCGCTTTGAGTAGGAACCAAAGTCTATAGAATTCTCTGGTAGTTACCGAACGCTAGCGCGTGTTCTTATTTAAAGATATTTAGCATAATAGAGATAAAAAAAAGTTCACGAAGAAAATTTCGAAGGGAAATCGATTTATTTTCAAACGCATGGATTACGAAAGAGAAAGAGAGAGAGAAAGATATATATATATATATACATATATATATATATATATAAACAGATAGAGAATGAGATGCAAAAGAATTTATTTCACTAGCCAGTAGTGTTCAACCTCCCTTCGGCTATGTTTCAAAAATCACTGCGCCATCAATGTTTGACGAAACGTATGCGCGAATATCATCGGAAGCACTCATCCATCTCGATCCCGTGCGAAGCAATTAAACGTACCATCGTAGTCGGTGTGACGAACGCGAGTCGCGCCCGCGGAGAGAATTTGTTTGCGGTTGGAAATCCATACGTTGCCGCTGGAAAATTTCTGTGGGTGCGGTTCGTCGCCGACAACAATGCTTTTGATATAACACCACGGCGTAAAATTAAAGGACGCGAGGCGATATAAGAAAATAAATAAATAACACGATTGATATTCGAAGAAAAAAAAAAAAAAAAAGAAATGTCTAAAAAAAATTCAATAATTATTAAATTCAATGAGAATTTTTTCTAACGATCGCAAGTAAAAAATTCTTTTTGACAAAAATATATTCAATTGTGCTTCGATCTAAATATTTCCATCGCTTTTATTTCTTTTTTGATTGAATTTTTTTTCTTTCTTTTTTTTTCTTTTTTTTTTTTTAACGCAATTTTCACCTACGTTGCATCTAAAAATTGTAGGAGTAATGATTAGGTATACTTGTGTAACCGTTCGTTGCTTAACCGTTCTAAAATACACATGAATTAACACCAGACAGATAAATTAAACTACGAAACTACAAGTAATTCGCTCTACATTATCGTAACACACGAGTGCACTTATATACGGTAGTAGTACACATTAGCATTGCCATCGTTTCCTACCGAAAGTAGAAAAGTTACTGAATCGCGTAGTCTATGCATCTATATCTCAATCTCCGTTTCCTCTCTTTCTTTTACCGAAAATAGAACTGAGCAATTAAACGAGGAATTGGAAAAGCGTCTCTGCTAGGATTTGATCGTCACCACGTAACCTACAATGAATCTAATAGGGTCATTAAACTGAGCAAGATAGACGATTTTTATACGCTGACGCATTATCGAGTCGTCTGAAAAGGAACGAAATGAAATACGATCCTAATCATTAATTATTAAAACGCGCGGATCAATTTAATTAGATATAAAAAAAAAAAAAGAAAAATTAGGATATTCATTCTTGATAAAAATTATTGTTATATCAATGTGGAAGAAGCAATTTCCGTTAGTAGAAAAGTAAAGTAACCGTTTGCGGAGAATAAGTTTGGTAATTTTAAAACAAAAGCGATAAAAGGAAGATGAGGTAAAGAAGATTCGTGTGTAAAATTCTTGATTTTAATGGACGATGCAAGGAATGAGTTTTTGGAGCTTTAAAAACTCTTTGAAAGCATTTGGGGACTAACCTGGGCCTGCTCGCGTTCGGGATGATGTTCTAATTACTGTTATCTACTTTACTCGCAAAGCGACACGCTACCAAGCAATTTGTATTCTAGACTGCCAAGAGAGCTACTGAAGCGGTCTGGTGGTGTTGGTGATGGTGGTAGTGAGAAGAGCTTTCTGAGAGGGTGGTAAGATACGCGCGAGCACATACTCGGTGGATGGAAAACGAACGAGAGGGTAAACCCCTGCTGGAATCACCCATTCCACTCTTTCTCCTCCTTCTCCAACCTTCTCTACCTCTTCGACCAGTTTTGAATGCGGGACACAAGGAACCTCGGCGATGTTCAATGGCAAAATTATGCGAGTAGAACCTTACGGACGAAACGAGATGCGTCACGGAAAGTTCTTTAGACTCCGAGCGTTCGTCGGGCGATTAGCAATTCGGCAGATGTTCTTGGAAGTTTGAGCACAGATCGAGGTCGATGACTTACCTAATTAACATATCCCGTCGACGACGAGGAGAAGGACGAGAACGACGAATGGCTCCTTCATCGACTTCCTCTCCTCGTTTCTCCTATCGAGACCTTGTGTGTCTTTTCGACATTGGTGGTTAACTTAAAAGCTTGAAATCTATAATTTACTTAGTAATCCGAAATTTTCATTTTCATTTTAATTTTGGATAGGTGTATTGTTAGAAAAAGAAAACATACATATATATATATATATATATATATATATATATATATATATATATAACTTTTTATTCATTTAAAAAAAGAAAAGAAGAAAACAATCGATCCAAAATATTTTCTTAATAATAATAAATAAAAAGTGATTAATTTTATTTAAATGTGTAATATATTATAATCAGTTTTATTGACTCGTACGTTTTATGGGCAGTAGATGGGCTGTAGATCATTACGAATTTATATCAGTAGAGAGGCCCTAGTAAAGCCTCCATCATATACGTATATATTCAAGAACCGATGTTTAATTTTAAACGCGAATACGTATGTATGTATGTATGTATAATATCACGTCTCGTTCATACCACCGTAAACACGCATTTCATTCTAAACAATCGTCCAAAATGAAACGCGCTCGTTTGCTTCTAAATACGTACTACCGACCTATTATATTTGCTTCAAACGATAAGATAGGGTACCGACGTTGCAGAAAATAGCTTTCTGATTATTCAAGGCACTCTCTCGATCGTTTGCAAATCACGCTACTAATCATCGATCTATGTTTTAGGATTCAATATTACTTTTTGTGTTTTGATAAAACACATGAGAGAATTTAATGATGTCGTTTAAACTGGATTTCGATTTTTCATACTAAAAATAAAAAAGTATTACGAAATAGGTATAAACATGGGGAATGATCTAAACTTTTTAAAGAGATAATTATTATTAAGATATGAGTAAACGTAAAAAATAATAATATTTGTTTTTTTTTTTGAATAATAAAGTTTTCAAAATTCATTTCTTTTTTTTCCGAACACCTCAATCTCGTCTTCGTAGTTACGCGTTCCTGACGCGATAAGAAGGAGAGAAAATAAAGTAAAATGCTGGCGATTATAGACGTCCATTGTCTCGTAACTCGGAGCGGTTTTGTGCCGGTGGCACGTATTTTCAAGCACGAGGAGAATTACAAGCGAAGCGTGAAAGAAGCAGAGCTACTACCGAGAGCAAAGCTGCGAGACAAAGAAAGAGGAAGAGAGAGAAAGAGAGAGAGAAAGAGAGCGAGAGAGAGAAAGAGAGTGAGAGAGAGAGAGAGAGAGGAAAAGGGAGAGAAAAGAAAAAGAACCGACAACGTACAACGAAGGAAAGGCGGGCTGTTTCGGAGAATGAAATTTATATAGGGTGACCCCGCGATCACGATACAATTTGCTAAGGGATGTTTCTCTTAAGAAAATAAATTGTATTTATAATATAAAAATCTTTATGTTTATATATAATGTTTTGTCTATAGAAATTTCAAGAAAATTTATGCAATTGTTGCTTAAAAAATGTATTTATACATCATTTGTTTTACCTCGTATAAAAATGTAAAATTACAAGCTATATATAATTGTACGATTCTTTTATTGTATATTTTTTTTTCTTTTTTCATTTCAAGTAATATTACGCTTATAAATATATATTTTGTACAAAATTGTGAATGAAAAATATTAAAGATTATACTCATGTCGGACTTTTACGTTGTGCTTAGACGAAATGCAGCTCTTTTTGCCAACGCCTTTTGCTGGAGTAAAGTGCTTTGAACGAAAGGTAACATAAAGGTTAGTGTTGCCAATATAACTCAGACAGGATCGTTTTAACGTGTTTTGAAAGAGCTAAAAAATTAAGGAAAATTCAAACTGTGTCGACTCGTTCAAAAAGAAAAACGTTTACTTTATTTTTTAAAAAATAAACGTCATGAGAGAGAACATCAGTAATCTAATGTTTACATAATTAAATGTAACTTCGTACATTTACTATTAGAAGCGCAAAATTTTTATTTTATACACAAATTCCGTGATATCATAATTTATGAAATATATTACATGTCAAGTTATTGAATTCCTTATGAATATTATATGTATCGATCAATTGATCGATCTAAATTTGTATGCTTATTATAAGTAAAATAAATCATACGTCGATGAAATATTTATGGATATCCACGAGGATTCGTAGTGACTCTCTTGCGTGAATAAAATATTTGGAATTTCATGATTAATAGAAAAACAATATTACAGAAAAGCATATCCCAGTTTCAGTGAAAACGAATTTATTCAGCTTCTATATTCCAGGACCAACGAATAATCCCTGCTTTATTCGTAGCACGTATGAAATCATTATTTTATACGTATCATTTATATGCAAGTGTACATCCCTTGGAGAGAAAGCTTTAGGAAATTTATTTATGTTTCAAATATTAATCTTCAATTTCCATTGTATGACTGATTCGATTAAATGTTTGGATTCATTGCAAGAAAAGGATGAGAACATTTTGGGAAAAGGTTATAGCAAAAAATATAACGGATAGCCAAAAGGTGACTCGCGAGATGTTAAGCATTAAAAACTTTTTCCTGTCAACGTTCTAACATAACGTCGTCGACTCTCACGAGATTCCACGAGCAAAGTCGACCGTAACGAAACTGGGTGATGCTCTAGATAAAAAGAAAGAAACGAAAACGACTAAAATAAAGAAAGAGTAAGAAGAATAAAAAAAAATAAAAAAGTAGTAGTGCTGGTAGATTTACGTCGTAAAAGAATGAAAAGAGTGGAATGCGCGAGCGCTGTGGGAATTCTTGTTCCCGCACATATGAGCTTTTATATATATGATATTCCATTCGCGACTCACGACCTTTCCATCTCTCGCTCAGCACCAGTTCGAACAACCCCCGGTGACGCGTCTATTCGCCGATGCGTATTTAAGCGCTCTTCCTTTGTAACCCGATGGGAGGGAGAATCTATAAATCGCTCATGTCAGAAATATCGTGCGTAATTATGTTGAAAATATTTTTAAAAATCCAAAATTTCCACTCTTTCCTCAACTCAAACGCGAATTGTTGGCGATTTCGAATAATGTATTTTTATCTTTCACTTTTTTCTTTCTTTTTCTTCTTTTTTTTTTTTCATCCGTTTAAGAACGATCAATATGGACGATTAGATAAATTGAAAATCGTTAATTGCGTAACTATTAATACTTCGCGGATATTCTAAAAGTACCATCGATTCTATTTTTAATTTTACCTTCGATAAATATCGCACGCAGTGTTGGCCATTAAAATATACTCGAGGTTATATCATTTAAAAATCTTTTTGCACTTCTCAACGTGAGTACTCACACACAATTGAAAACTTTCACCCTTTTCATTGTTTTTCGAAATAGAACTACTTCAAATTAGTAACAATGTAATATCATCTCGTTTACCATTTTTCCCGCATTCCTATATATATATATATAATGTTGTCATTTAAAGAAATCCAATAGAATGCATTAACATAATATAATGCATTTCTTTTGCATTTTCAAGGCAATACTATATATAATCCATTCTATTTATAATTGGGTATGTATTGGGTATGTACATTTAAAGCCGTTATATTTTTCTGATTTTTGCGACGGAATCCCTGCCGCGGGAGAGCCATAGTATTAAAGACGAGAAGAGATCGTGAGAAAGAAAAATATCGAAGAAAAATAGAAAAGAGAATTCGCCGAAAAGTCAGACCACTCGGACGAATCTAACGAAAGAAAAAAGTTCAAGTGAAATATACGTGCCCGAGGGATTCAGAGGTTAATAAATGTGAACCCAGGCAACAGAACTTGAATATATTTCAGTTCCGCTTCATGAAAGTGAATCATGTTAAATCTGAACTAAGTTAACAAAAATTTCAAAGTAAAGCGCGTCTATATGATTCCGTATTTCCGTCGATTTTAAATGACTCTGAGTTTCTTTTATTTCTATTATTTTTTTTTCTAAACTAAAAAATAAACCAGAAGAAATAACGAGAGGACACAGAAAAATAGAAACGAAAGAGAATGAAATGTGCTGCGAGTGACGCGCGCCGGGTTGAGAAAAAAAAAAAAGATTTTGCAAAAACAACAGAAACGAAAAACTAACGCGAATCGATCGTCCGGAAGGTCGTTAAAATGGCGCAGCTCTCGTACTCTAAATAATTTTCTCCGTCGCACATACATTATGCGCGAGACTTCGGCTATTGCGTTATGTCAGCTAGAAATCCGCAAGCCCATTGGACGATTTGTACAGGGGTTTCAAACACGCTTCGTTAAATTTGTGACCCGCGTGTTCACTTGCTATGACCTATCGGATAGAGTACCGTGTATGAGACGCATAAAAGCGCTCGTTAAATATCATATTCCGTGAGTGACCTCTTCTAATTGTAAATACATTGACTGAGAGAACCAAAAAGTTAGCAGGATGAAAACTATATCATACCAATTCTTTTTATTCAGAAAGAAATGAATTTAAAATCTAGTAAATTCAATGAATTATTAAATTAGACGAACTTGATGAATTTTCTTTGCTGTTCGTTTTTATTTGAAAGTAGTTTAAAATTTACGAAAACCACTGTGAAATGATTTCTCAAAGTTCGTCGAACTATCGTTTATAAAGCAAACCTTATTTTTGTGAAACGGGAAAATGGAAAAAAAAGAAAAAGAAGAAAAGAAAAAAGAAGAAACGAGAATAAGAAAAGGCCGCAGTAAATAAAGTCGCTGGGCTTGAAGCCAATATCAGCTTCGGCGTTTTCCGCGTCTTGATTATGGATGCTTGGCACTTGGATCCTACTTTATTATCGGATCTATATAACTCTTTAGATCAATTTGCCGGGGCTAAACGGATTACGGTGCCGCCACGAACTTCCAAGTCACGATTGCATCGAGAAGATATTGGATCTTTAATTAGTGGACGTAACTAGAGAAAAATCATTTACGGCTCTATAGAACTTTTGAGTTTATCTTAAAATAAATGTCCTCCATATCTCTTTACCTCAGCTTCATTTGAAATTGCCTGATATCCGATTCTAATATCGGCAACATCTGCCGGTGGTTTAAAATCGATCGTCGAGGAAAAAGGCGTTTCTCTCATCAAGGAAATAC